TTGACGAACCAGACGATCGTTGGACGCTATGCTGAGGAGATCAAGGGTGCGATGATTTTGCTTGAGCGTAAGTACTCCTGATCGAGAATGGACTGAAAGCTTTCGCAAATGTGCGGGAAGTGCTCATCAAGTCTCCCAGATCGCTACTGGGGAACCTCATCACCATATGCCAATTTGACCACTGAGACGCTCCAGTACCTCAGTCTGGAGCAGTCGATTGCGGACCTCGTCCACTTTGCAAAGACCGTGAATCTTCCGTTCGACACCGATCGCAGCAGTAACGCTGATAATGCGGTGAGTAGAGTTATCAAAAATGGATCATCACGCCATCCGCATGCTGACGGATGTTTCATGGAAGCCATGGGTGCTCACTGGGGGCTCCTACAGCGGTGCCCTAGCCGCGTGGACCGAATCGATTGCCCCAGGGACCTTCTGGGCGTACCATGCATCGAGTGCGCCTGTGGAGGCTATCTATGACTTCGTACGTGATGGCAAAGACGTTCTGACCAAGCACATTTTAACATATGCAGTGGCAATATTTCGTCCCCGTTACCGAGGGCATGCCCAAGAACTGCAGCAAGGATCTCTCACGCGTGGTGAAATATATTGATCACGTCTACAAGTCAGGCGATATCGATCGTCAGCAGGAACTGAAAGAGATGTTCGGGTTGGGAGGGCTCAAGCACTTCGATGACTTTGCAGCGTATGTTGTGTTCGCCTTTTCTGAACGGTGAATGATGTCTCGATGCTAATGAGTCCCAGAGCAATTGAGAACGGACCATGGCTCTGGCAGTCGAATAGTTTCTACACGGGATACTCCGGCTTCTTTAAATTTTGCGACGCGGTTGAGGTGAGGCCCTTCTCCACTCAAGGCTTGGACTGTGCGAACGGTCATCTCACGCGGTATTAGAATGTCAACCCTGGAGCAAAGTCGGTTCCTGGACCGAGCGGCGTCGGTCTCGAAAAAGCGCTGAAAGGCTATGCGTCGTGGTTCAATTCAACGTTCCTGCCTGGATGTAAGTCTCCTGGATACATTCTCCGAGACCCCTCAGAGACTGACCCGAATAGACTGCGCCAAAACTTACGGTTATTGGACTGACGATTACGCAATTGACTGCTTCGACACATATACTCCTTCTAACCCCCTATTCACTGACCTGTCCCCCAGCAACACGATCAATAGGCAGTGGGTGTGGTTCACATGCAATGAACCTTTCTTCTACTGGCAAGAGTACGGTACCAGCTCCATGGAATCCGTCGGTCTGCTCTGCTAATCCCCGTGACTGTAGTGGTGCACCAAAGGATGAGTTCACCATTGTCTCCAGGCTGGTCTCAGCGGAGTACTGGCAACGACAATGCTCGCTGTTCTTCCCCGAACTCAACGGCTATACATACGGTAGCGCCAAAGGCAAGACCGCTGACGACGTGAATCAGTGGACCAAGGGCTGGGACTTGACGAACACAACACGCCTGATCTGGACAAATGGGTTCGTTGTCTGACCGGCAAGGTTTGATCAAAGCTAACATTAACCCATTTCCACAGTCAATTCGATCCCTGGAGAGACTCGGGAGTCTCATCCAAGTTCAGACCCGGAGGACCCCTTCAGTCCACAGAGAAGGCGCCAGTACAGGTGATTCCGGGCGGATTCCATTGCTCAGATCTGAGGCTGCGGAATGGGGCTGTGAATGCCGGTGTTCAAAAAGTGATTGATAATGAGGTGGCGCAAATTAAGGCTTGGGTTGCGGAGTATCCCAAATATCAGAAGCCTTGATGTGCCTGTGATTTCGATAGACTTTAGGGTTGCTGATGGGCCCTTATCTGTGGCTCAAGCACGTCCTGTACATATGTGCGATATCCTGACCGTAAAGCCTTGCTCTGCACAGAAGCCGCAGGTTTGTACCATTCCATTGGAGTCAGATACAGATACTCCAAGGATAGTTCAATAGACCTGGTTATTTATAGCAGTGATTGCGATGATGTAAGATCATGAAACGGCTTCGACAGCGATTGGTCAAGGTGCTTAAAGGGAGGGGAGGGCGGGTAACATTACAGCTAAAATACAATATTTGAGATATCAAACAAAGCAAACTCAGCCAAATATTGCCTGCGTACAGTAATACAAAAATACCACCTGTCGGTTTGCCGGAATGGCTTCTTCCCGCGATCATACGATGTCTTCCGCCGAGCCACGGCCGAGATTCCCACGCTGCCCCAAAGCTCAGCCACAGGCAGCGATTTCCTTGGATTGCAGCTCAAGTTGTTGTCGATACAATTGCTTACTACTCAGCTCATCAGATTCGCCTTCGTTAGTGTTGAGTTGCTCCGATGGATTGCTTTGCAGGATTTATGCAAAAGAGAAGAGCTTGAAATTTGATACCAAATACAGTCTTGTGGGGTTGCATGTGGAAGGCTGGAATCAGGACAATCACGCTTCCTCTCAACAGCCCAACAAGACGATAAGATCCTCATCTAACGCTAGCCTCGGCCCCTTACAGTGTTGAGTCAGGTCTAGCTCACATGACTTGATCGTATACATCTCTTGTTCAGCCAGCTCGTTGCCTTCACACCCTGCACCTATTTGCTGTATGGAATGCATGCCTTCATCATTATTGCAATCAGCCATATCTTTGCGGCCTGCACCAACATTCAGGTCTGACTCCACAATTCGAGTTTTAGTATCCTGATTAGCGTGTTATTTGGCCGATCATCAATCATCCTTCGAACTTAAACCCGCAGTTAGCCGGCTTTTGCCCCCCCCCCCCCCCCCCCCCCCCCCCCCCCCCCCCCCCCCCCCCCCCCCCCCCCCCCCCCCCCCCCCCCCCCCCCCCCCCCCCCCCCCCCCCCC